GTCAATCAGGTAGTGATGGAACACGAGTGATGGCATTGGGACACTCATGACTTGCGGGCCTGGTCGTCAATCGAGGAACTGGCGCTCACATGGTTTTATTTACGACTTCGTCTACACGCACACACACACACACACACACACACACACAGGGTGCAAGAGTTGGAGCAGCTGCGGCGCAGGTGAAAGGTGGATTGTGGGCTTGACCGTCAGTGATGCGAGCTGCACAGACTGCAGCGACGGTACGTTGGCATTGCGCTGAGGGCTAAAGCATGTGTTGTACCTGCTCCCTTGTTCCGGGATATTGCCACTGGCGCGCTTTGGGTTCCTCACGCCACATCGCCTTACACACTCACACTCACACACTCACGCACACTCACTCACTCATGCACAAACGCATAATATGTTTCTTTGCCGGTCCTTTCGACGTGCTAGGCATGTTTCAAGACAGCACGAGCCATCAGTCGCCGACTTGTCGTCCGTGGCAGCCATGTCCCGAGGGCAAGTTTGTGTCTTCACTGCCCACGATAACAACCGACAGAGTGTGCATGAGCTGTGCTGCTGGGTCGTTTTCGAACGACAGAAACCAAGACACCTGCACAGTGTGCCCCACGGGCAAGTTCCAGGATGCTGCTGGCCAGAGGGGCTGCAATCTGTGTCCAATTGGCACCTACGCGAGTCAACCCCGTACGATTGAGTGCCGCACTTGCGCCACTGGCAAATACGCGAACGAAACAGGCCTGAGCAAGTGCAAGACGTGCTCATCGTGCCCGACGGGTCTCTCGCCTTCACCCGCGTGCTCCCCCACCACCGACACAGTCTGCAAAGGTTTGTTTTTGGAGCCCATCAACCTGCATCTTATTATGTTCATCACCGAAGCGTGTCTTCTTCATATGTGCGCGCACACCTGTAATGTTGTCGCGCACACGTACACACGCATACACGCTCGTCACTCGCACACACATTCACACACATTCACACACACACACACACAATAACTCACTCGCCTTTGCTTTGCATTCCTTGTGATAGATACGACACCACCTGTGATAACTGCCCGTCGCCCAGATTCTGGCAGCGTTATCGAGGGGCCGGCATATGTGTACACGGTTGTGCAGCACATGAAATTTCAGCCCCCAGTCGTCACCGCGACAGACACATACAGCAACGCCACAATTGTTGAGCCATCGTACGACTCTGTGTCCACTGGTACGTCGAGTTTGCTCTTCTTTGTGGTGGGTGCTCCGCCTCTTGGTCTCCACTTTGTTCGTGCCGCTTTCACGTCACCGACCCCAAGCACGCGTTGCTTGCCCACACTTACCTTTCGCGTTCCATTTCAATTCAGCAATTGCTCTTTGAATAGACACACACACGCACCCTCTGCCTCCGAGTCTCTCACACGTTCACGCACGCACTTACCCACTCTCGCTCAACATAGCCTTCGTTGGCTCAACCCAGGCGCTCGCGTACACGGCCATGGACGAGGCTGGCAATCAAGCCAGCATCTCCATCACCGTCAACGTCATCGACGATAATGCACCACAACTCGTCTTCTCACCAGCAACGCTGCACCTGGAGGCTGGCCTGACACCAACGGCTGAGGACTACACGCGTGGCGTCACCGTTCTTGCCACCGATGCCGTGCTCAACAGTTCTCGACTCGTGTACGACCCCGCCAGCGTGAGTGTGCAGCAACTTGGAAACTACACTGTGCTGTACGAGCTGTTGTGGGCAGAGGACTCTTCAGCACAGTCCGTCCGCAATGTCATTGTCGCCGACACCACCAAACCTGTAAGCGAACTATGGAGGCAATGCGTGTGTGGGTGCGTGTGTGTGGGTGGGTGTGTTTGGGTGTGTTTGGGTGTGTGTGGGTGTGTGGATGGGTGTCCATGTCGACGCTTTCTGCGAGCGTGACTCACTTAAGCATTACTCTCTTGCCATAACAGGACCTGCGGGTTGACTTTGGTCTTCGAGAGGTGCATGCAGGCAACGAAGTCTGGCACGAGGCCGCCATCACGTTCGTGTACCCCGTTGTAACTGCCTCAGACTCCTTTGACACCACCATCAACTCCTCCAGCGTCATCTCTGCAGAGTTCCCGGTGAGTCAAGGGCTGTGCGTGTGTGTGTGGTTGGATGTATCTGTGTATGTGTGTGTATGTATGTATGTATGTGTGTGTGCGTGTGTGTTTGCATGTGCGTACTTTGCTGCAGTCGTTCAGGCCCAGGTTCAGGTTCACGTGTGTGTGTGTGCTGATGGGTGCGTGTAAACGCGCACGCGCCGGACCCAGCACCTCAGCATGACTTGGTCACAGCCACTGCATGACATTCATCCAAGTGAGCATCGTACTCATATCTCGTCACGCGCAACAACAACCCCCCCCCCCCCAACAACACACACAAACACAACCCCCCACACACAACACAAACACACACACACACACACACAACGCACATGCAGCGGTTCAGGCCATTCGTGGAGGACGACACCACGTTTGCGTTTACGTATGCAGTCTCCGACGCGTCAGATAATCTGGCCACCGTGACATATGTGGTGCGGGTCGTGGACACGATGGCGCCCACTGTCACCATCACTGGCGACCCATCTGTGACGCACGAGGCTGGGACGGAATACGTGGACGCTGGAGCAACGGCATCAGACCTGCTTGAGGATGCGCTTGAGCGGACCATCGACATCACCACCCTCAACACCGTCGACGTGTACCCGGCGTCGGTACCGGCTGTGTTCACGGTGGAGTACACGGCATGCGATAAGGCGGGCAACTGCAACAACGCATCACGTGCGGTGACAGTGGTGGACACGCAGCCACCCACGATTGAGCTGGTTGGACCGTCCCAGCTGCAGGTTGAGGCCGGCAGCGAGCTCGCTGACATCGACCCGGGCGCGCACGTGTCTGACGCGTACAACGCACCGTCACAGCTGCGCCTGAGCATTGATGACGGCGGGTATGCGGCGCAGCCAGCAAGCGTCCCCGCCACATTCAACATCACATACACCGTGAGCGACACGTCAAACCACACGGCCAGCATCACGCGGGAGATCACGGTGATTGACACGACGCCGCCAGACGTCCGCCTCAATGGCGCGCTGGACACGGTTGTTGGCGACGGTGTGGGCTGGGTAGAGCCGGGCATTGCGAGTGCGTACGACAATGCAGATGGTGATGTGCGGCCGCGTGTGGAGGTGAGAGTGGTGGCGCAGACGGTGGGCACTGCTGCAGCCGCGAGCAGCTGCGTGTACTCGTCTGCGCGTGACTTTGTGCCGAGCGTGGCACCACGGGTGTGGCCTTCGCCTGCGCTGGACGCGGTTGAAGCCAGTGCACCGAGCGGCACCGTGTACCGCATCAACTACACGGTGACGGATGCGTCCGACAACGTGGCGCACGTGGAGCGGGTGGTGCGCGTTGTGGATGGGAGTGCGCCGACAATGCAGCTTGTTGGTGAGCAGCTTGTGCAGCTTGAGTTTGGCGGTGGCAGCAGCAGTGGTGGTGGTGATGGTGAGGAAGGTGCAGGTGAAGATGGTAGCGGTGCGTTTGCTGATCCTGGGGTGACGGCGCACGATGCGCACGATGGGGATGTGAGTGGGAATGTGTGCGTGAACGTGAGTGTGGTGACGGCGAATGCGACGGGTGTGCTTGCAGTGGGGAGCGTGGCTGATGTTGCCGCGTATGCTGTCACCCATGTAGTGCAGCAGCAGGAGAAGCAGGAGGAGCAGCAGGATGATGATGGTGATGGTGGTGGGGGTGGTGGGGGTGGTGAGGGTGGTGAGGGTGTTGTGGGGCTTGGGGGTGCAGTGGCGTGGGCAGAGGTGGGCACGGTGTATGTGATGCAGTACAGCGTGCAGGACCGGGCGGGCCACGCGGCTGCTGTTGTGCGTCGGGCGGTGGTGGTGGTGGACACGACGCCGCCCGAGGTGACGCTGTATGGCGCGGAGGAGGTGCACGTGCCGTATGCGACACGATATGTGGAGGCTGGGTACAGCGCACAGGATGTGCACGACGGCAATGTGACGTCGCGTGTGGTGGTGCGCGGGGCCGATGCGATTGACGTGCACGTGGCGGGGGCGTACGAGATTGAGTACGCGGTGAGCGATGTGAACGGCAACACGGGTGTCGCCGTGCGCACGGTAGTGGTTGATGCGTTGACCCGACCCGATGATGATGAGGATGCTGTTGTGGAGCTGGTGCTTGCAGGCACGGCGGAGGTCATCTTTGGTGGCGATGTGCCGCAGCTAGAGGCCGATCTAGAGGAAGCATTGGGAGTGGAGTTTGTGGTCGTGTTTCTCGTTTACGACAGCGCAGATGGGCGTCCAAGCGACGGCAGCGGCAACAACGACAGTGTCAGCAGTGGTAGCAGTGTGCGCAAGCGAAGGGAGGCGCCATCCACGCCAGCTGCAGTACCAATGACAACAGCAACGGAGATGACTGTGGTCGAGTTTGGGGTGCGGGACCCAGGGACACTGGCGTGGATGAGCACTACCGAGGTGCTGACGCTCTTGGATGGAGTCGTTGTGCTGGGGACAAGCGCGGTGCTGAGTGCTTCCGCGTATGATCCGGATTTGGGCACATCGACCTCGAGCGGCGGTAGCAACGCCAGCGTGTCGCTGACTGTGATCATTGCAGCAGCAGCTGGCGGCGTCGTGTTTGTGGTGAGTGACACGGCACGCTTGTTGTGCAATGAATTGAATTACTGTACCGTCGTTGCTACGTTGATGATTGGGCACTCTTCGGGTGGGTGATTAGGAACGACGGCAGTGAACACCTTTGTTGCACAACTGATTTGCGCTCTCTCTCTCTCTCTGTCTCTCTGCTTGCTGACCTTGGTGCTTGCATCAGGCTATGGTTGTGGTTGTCGTCTCGTTGCTTCGGCGTCGGTCAAAGCGTCAGCAGCTGGCGAAAACAACACTGGTATGCCTGATGGTGAATGCCTTGTATGTCTGTGTGTTTGATTGCCACCACGTCATCAAGAAGCACATCTCTTGTGCTCTTGTGTGGTTTCGGCGTTTGTTCCTTGCTTGTGTGTACTCGCACAGCTTGTGGCTTACACCTTGTGTCGCTTTGTTGCTCTGCTGCTGGGGCTGTAGGAGGCGGCCCAGAACCCTTACCAGTCTGTGCCGCACAACGGGCTGGAGACGATCAACCCTGCATTCTGTGGAACCGACGACTTTGACACGGGCAAGATTGCCGGTGAGTGCGACTGCTGTCACAACAGGTCTGCTTGTTCAGTGAGAGGGAGAAAGAAAGAGGTGGGGGGGGGTAATTGCGTACACTGTGGCTGCGAGTGTGAGCCTCCGTCATGCCGCGTTGTGATGCGATGTGATGTGAAACATTCTCGCTCTCCAAAGCCTCGAGTTCTCGTTCATCTTGTCGTTGTCATTCACGGTGCCCTGTCACTTGTCTTTTCGATGCTGTCGCCTCGTGTCAGGAACATCGGAGCACGGCGCACCCCTCAAAGGTATTTGTTTGGGCCTTGCTCATGTCTGCTTGCTGGGCCGCTCTGTGCATGCACCCATGCTACATGGCCTACTGCGTCGTAGTGGTCATTTCATGTCATGGTTGCACTGCCTCATTGGTGTTTGATCCGTAACAGTTACTCACAAACAACGGCAACACCCACACAATGTGCGATGAATGGACAGTGCTGCAAGCGCAACCGGCGCATACGTGGGACGAGGCCGACTATGACACGACGTTCACGAGTGGCTATGTGGACACGGGAATTTTGAACATGCAGCCAGAGTACGACGTGGTGACAGAGGGGGGAGTCGTGGAAGACAATGTTTATGAATCCGCCGAGGATGCCGTGGCTTAGCGAGGACCACACCCTCCTGGCAAGGGATACTTGTTACATTCCCATTACACATTTTGGCTCAAGTCTCTCTTTGTCCATTGTCAGCAGCGGAGAGGGAGATCGAGGTCGAGGTGTCTTTGGCGAGTCAGTGTTCATGCTGACGTGCACGCTTGCTTCTTGGCATCATGCTGTGTTCTCTTTTTTTTTTTTTTCTTCTTTTTTTTTTTTTTTTGTTGTTGTCACCCGCAAAAGAAAACCACATGGCTCCTCTTTGTTGTGTTTGTATGGGAATTTTGGCAGGACAGTTGTTGTGCGCCTGAGGAGTCACATTTTCACAACGCGTGCACACAATTCCACGCTCAGACGTGTGGATGTGCGTCTTTGTGGCGTCTGCGTGCGATGCTGATGATGACGAGTTGTGAGGAACAACGTGGAGTGAGATGGAGGGCGACCTCCGTCTTCGCAGTGGTGACTGCTTTGGTACTCATGCAGCGCCCAGTTGGTAAGCCACAGCTTGAAGTTGATCAAGATGGGGTGGGGTGGGTGTAAAACAGCAGCGATGAAGAAGAGAAAAGCAACCATGCGACTGTGCGCTTGTGCGATGAACGTCCAACAGAGTGTTATCACGTGATTTGGTTGCTCTCGTCCCCGGTATCACCTCCGCCGTAGCTCAGACTCGAACATGCACGGCAACTCATGGCCGTCTTCCTTCCCGCTTCGATTCCCTCGATGTTCATGTCCCTTCATCCATGTGCATTGATTGTCCCTCCGCTGCGTGCTCAAGCAGTTGAAGCGCATCCAATTGTGTGCGGGCGGGGACAGAGAGCAGGCAGCGTTTCTTGCCTTCCATGCCAGCAAGGTGTGTTCGCGCACGCAGGCGCGTGCTGGGTGAAAGCCACAAGCAGACAGGCATGCGGGCGTGTGCTCTTGAACATGTATTTCTGCACATGGATGCTTCTGTGGAAGCTGTGAAAAGGCACAGGTGCTGGTAGTAGTTGAAGACTTGATTGTCTCCGGTTGTGGTGAAAGATGTGGCGTGCATTCTGTTCAATCACACATGCTAGTCATGCTGCACTCCTCCCACAACTGTCCGCTCATTCACCCTCACTTCTCTGCTTCTCGGTGTGCTTGCCTGCAGGCAAGTATCAAGACGCTTCCTCACACTCCAGTGCCAGCTGCAAGAGCTGTGTCGTTTGTCCCACCGGCTATGATGAGACAATTCTCTGCACCAAGGTTGCCAACGGCAAATGCGAAGGTCAGAAGAAGGAGTGGTGTGCCCTGTGAACTTACCAAGAGGAGAGCATAAAACAACAACAATAACCCCCCCCCCACCCACACGCATGCACAGGCACAGGCACACACACACACACACACAGGCACACACACACATACACACAATCCTCACGGATTGTACATACACACAACACCCACTATGCTGTCTCGTGGCGCAACGTTCACCCTTCAACCCGTTCGCATTGTGCCAATTGCGTGTAGACATCCAGCCACCCACCATTGAGCTCCGATACCCGGGCACGAACGTGCTCTTGAAGAGCAGCGACACTTACACCGCAGGTTTTGGGCTTCCGTTTTCGCCACCTCTCGCAAGCGCCGTCGACACTGCCGCTGGTGCGGTTGTACTCATTCCCCCTGCGAACATTACCAACATATCGACAGGTACGCCAAAGAACGAGCAAATGGGTTGGGGGCACTATGTGTGACGACGTCTGTTGTGCACGTCGTAGCGTTGTGGTACATGCGTGTAATACCGAGTTAGCTCCCAAGGCTTTGCGCGCGCACAGTTCTCATTACCACAGTTGGCTTACTTGCATATCTGTGCTCACCCTGCTTGATTGCGGTGTGCTGCTTCGCCCCACTTGCAGATATCCTGCATGCTACGCGGACGCTGACGTACATGGCAGTCGATGCCGCAAGCAACACAGCCACACGCACCATCACCGTTATGGTTGAAGACACCCTAGGCCCAGAAATTAGCTTTGATCCACCAACGCTGAGGCTCGAAGCTGGTCAGTCACCGACACGCCACAACTTGACCAAAGGCGTTTGCCTTGTCGACAACGTGGACGGAGAGCTATCTGTTGACCTGGATCAGCTGCAGTACAGCATGAACGACATCAACGTCTCAAGTCTGGGATCGTACCAACTCTCATACTGGCTGAACGCAGCAGACGAAGCTGGCAACCCTGTACAGGCAACAAACAGGACTATTATCGTCCAAGACACGACAAAGCCAGTACGTGTGGTTGATCTGAAGGTCGTTCTGGCGATTGTTACAGTTGCTATATGAGGCTTCTTGCATACGCTCTAGACACCCTGTAACTGCGCAATCAGAACCGACTCTCAACCCAGTGCGTTTCTGCGTCAATATTGTGACAGGACCTGCGGGTTGACTTTGGTCTTCGAGAGGTGCATGCAGGCAACGAAGTCTGGCACGAGGCCGCCATCACGTTCGTGTACCCCGTTGTAACTGCCTCAGACTCCTTTGACACCACCATCAACTCCTCCAGCGTCATCTCTGCAGAGTTCCCGGTGAGTCAAGGGCTGTGTGTGTGTGGATGTGTGTGTGTGTGGTTGGATGCACGTGTGCGTGTATGTATGTGTGTGTGTGTGCGTGTGTGTTTGCATATGTGTACATGTGCATGTGCGTACTTTGTTGCTGTCCTTCACGTTCACGTTCACGTGTGTGTGTGTGTGCTGATGGGTGCGTGTAAACGCGCACGCGCCGGACCCAGCACCTCAGCATGACCTGGTCACAGCCACTGCATGACATTCATCCAAGTGAGCATCGTACTCATATCTCGTCACACGCAACAACAACCCCCCCCCCCAACAACACACACACACACACACAACACAACACACACACACACACACACACACACACACACACACACAACGCACATGCAGCGGTTCAGGCCATTCGTGGAGGACGACACCACGTTTGCGTTTACGTATGCAGTCTCCGACGCGTCAGATAATCTGGCCACCGTGACATATGTGGTGCGGGTCGTGGACACGATGGCGCCTACTGTCACCATCACTGGCGACCCATCTGTGACGCACGAGGCTGGGACGGAATACGTGGACGCAGGAGCAACGGCGTCAGACCTGCTTGAGGATGCGCTTGAGCGGACCATCGACATCACCACCCTCAACACCGTCGACGTGTACCCGGCGTCGGTACCGGCTGTGTTCACGGTGGAGTACACGGCATGCGATAAGGCGGGCAACTGCAACAACGCATCACGTGCGGTGACAGTGGTGGACACGCAGCCACCCACGATTGAGCTGGTTGGACCGTCCCAGCTGCAGGTTGAGGCCGGCAGCGAGCTCGCTGACATCGACCCGGGCGCGCACGTGTCTGACGCGTACAACGCACCGTCACAGCTGCGCCTGAGCATTGATGACGGCGGGTATGCGGCGCAGCCAGCAAGCGTCCCCGCCACATTCAACATCACATACACCGTGAGCGACACGTCAAACCACACGGCCAGCATCACGCGGGAGATCACGGTGATTGACACGACGCCGCCAGACGTCCGCCTCAATGGCGCGCTGGACACGGTTGTTGGCGACGGTGTGGGCTGGGTAGAGCCGGGCATTGCGAGTGCGTACGACAATGCAGATGGTGATGTGCGGCCGCGTGTGGAGGTGAGAGTGGTGGCGCAGACGGTGGGCACTGCTGCAGCCGCGAGCAGCTGCGTGCACTCGTCTGCGCGTGACTTTGTGCCGAGCGTGGCACCACGGGTGTGGCCTTCGCCTGCGCTGGACGCGGTTGAAGCCAGTGCACCGAGCGGCACCGTGTACCGCATCAACTACACGGTGACGGATGCGTCCGACAACGTGGCGCACGTGGAGCGGGTGGTGCGCGTTGTGGATGGGAGTGCGCCGACAATGCAGCTTGTTGGTGAGCAGCTTGTGCAGCTTGAGTTTGGCGGTGGCAGCAGCAGTGGTGGTGGTGATGGTGAGGAAGGTGCAGGTGAAGATGGTAGCGGTGCGTTTGCTGATCCTGGGGTGACGGCGCACGATGCGCACGATGGGGATGTGAGTGGGAATGTGTGCGTGAACGTGAGTGTGGTGACGGCGAATGCGACGGGTGTGCTTGCAGTGGGGAGCGTGGCTGATGTTGCCGCGTATGCTGTCACCCATGTAGTGCCTCAGCAGAGAAGCAGGAGGA